CGCTCCCCGCTCCCGGGATGACGGCGCTACCCCCATCCCTTGGCGGCGTTCCGACCGCGCAGCCCTGCTGTCAGCACGGGGGAGGTCGCAGAACCCCGTGCAGGTCAGTCCCGAGCTCGGAGTGGGGCTTCCCCAGCCCACGTCCCGCAGCCCCGGGCTGCCCCCAGAGCTGTGGCACACCGCAGCAACAAAATCCCGGCTCTCAGCACCGACACGGCCGCCGCCGAGCCGAGTCCCCCTGGCCCCGGGGAGCGGCCGTGACTCAGGGACGTCCTCCGCCCTGAGGTGGAGCTGACAGAACGGAGCGGACTTTTCTGGCCGTGAATCGCCCGTCAGGCTTTCAGGCTTCTGAATTATCGGCGTCTGCAACTCCGCTTGGAAGCACAGAAGGAAGACCTGCTGTGTCGCAGCCGGGAACCGTCCCACGGAGAGACTCGCTGCGCCCCATGGATAGCGGTGGGGCTGGCACCGACGGAGCCCCAGGGATCGCGGGGGAAGGGAAGCGGGAACGGCGCACCCACACGGGGCACACCGGGCACCGCGCCCTGCCCGACGGGGATCCGCCCTCAGTAAGAAAGCGGCGAGAAACCGGTCCGTCGGGTGGCGACCGCTTCCCTGCACCGGGCCGTCCCCAGGTTCCGCCGAGGGCAGGGAACGTCCCGCCGGGTTTCGGCGACCGCGGTCCCGGAGGTGGGCAGACACCGCCCCGACCCGCCCCCGGGCGGTGCCCGGTGCCGGCCCGCCCCGTTGGCGAGCGGCGGGCGCGGGGAGCCGGGCGGCGGCAGAACTCCTGGTCACGCCATGCTGCCCGCCGCCCTCCGGAGATGGCTGCATCGGCCCAAGGTGAGAGCAGCGGCGGCTGTTCCCCGTTCCCGGTACGGTACGAGCAGCCCCGACGGGGCGGCCGCCATACCTGGAGTTTCGCTGCCCACGCGCTGCTGCCGGTGGGCACCTGGCGCCGAGAATGGGCGGGGGGGGGGGCGGAGCCCCCTCGCTGTGGAGCGGTCCCGGGGGTACCGGAGATGGGTGGCGGGGCTCGGGCGCTCGCAGGAAGCGAAGCAGAGCCGGGCCCTCCCGGAGCAGGGCGGGAGGAGGAAGCGGTGCCGCGGGCTCGGCCGGTGACTCACGGTGTGGCGGTGCCGGGGGAGCCCGACAGGACCGGGCAGCTCCGGGGCCGCCCCAGATCGCTGGGACCGATCCTCGGCAACCCCGGCCCCGCAGCCTCGGCCACCACGGGAGAGTTCTAGGGAGCGGTCGGGCGGGGGTGAATTACCGGTGCCCCTGCACTCCCTACCCGCAGCCTTCCTGCAGACCTTTCACCCGCTGCCGTGTTTACGGCCCTGTATGGATCTGTGCCCACACTGCCGGGATGAGGGCGAGCTTGTTCGTCCTGCTCTGCTCTGGAGAAACTGAGGGATGGGTGGGGACAGCGGGGCGGCTCCATCTGGGGCCCCGCCGTGTGTGAGCCCCATCGCTTGTCCTCTGCCTGCAGCGCTCCGACCCCCGGCTGCTCTCGCAGTTCTTCTTCGCCGATGAGCGGGTGACGCGGGTGGTGGCCGAGATCAACGGGCTGGATGCTGAGCTGGACCCGCAGCAGTACCTGGTGCTCCTCAACCAGCTCCACGTCAGCCAGGTGCGGCACAGTGACCTCAGCGCACGGCTCATGGCTCTTGGGGTGGCCGCGGTGACGTCTCTGTTCCCACCAGGCTCAGCTGCTGGCAGTCATTGAGCACATCATGGAGGAGTGCATCCCCACGCAGAGGCACAGCCGTGATTACCTCGTCAAGTTCCCTGAGGAGCTCTTGGTGGACAACCTGGGGAACCACATGTTGTTTGCTGCTGAGGTCAGCCCCTGAGGAGGGGATGACAAGCTGGGGGTGAGCTCCAGGCTCTGTCCCCTGGCTTCCCTTGGTCCCGGTTCCTGACACATCCCTGGTCCCGGCAGTGTCTTCTGGCAGGGACCTTCCTTGAGGTGGAGGAGGCGGATGGGGCACAGCTGAGGCCGCGTGCCAGGAACCTGCTGTGCAGCCTGGAGCTGGTGCGGGCACTGCTGCGGGAGCAGAGCCTGAGCCATCCCAGCACCTACCCTGAGCCCGTGCGGGCTGCACTCATCCAGTTTGACCGCCTGTTTGCTGAGTTTGAGCTCAGGTGGGGACTGGGTGTTGAGGCTGTGGGGGCTCAGTGGGGTCCAGTGGCACCTCACTGACCCCCAACTTTACAGCTACGTGTCCTCGCTGGTGGCAGTGAAATCCCCTGATGAGATCTACAGGCAGCAGGAGATCATTGTGCTCTTCTGTGAGACAGTGGAGAGGTGGGGACACGGTGTGCTGGGGAGGGCATGAAGCATCCTCCTGGCATCACCCCAGCCCCATTGTAAGGCTGTGTGCCCCCCAGAGCCCTGCGCTTGGGCTATCTGACCCAGGAGATGATTGATGGCTACGAACCACTGCTGATGTTCACCATCCCTCGCCTGGCCATCATCAGGTGCGTGCAGCCCCCTGCCCCACCAGGAGTGCCCGGGGTGGCCTGTGCTGATCCCTCCACCCTATGTTCCGTGCTGTCCCCTTACAGCGGTCTCCTCATCTACCCTGAGGGTCCACTCAGCCTGGAGCGCAGCCCTGAGCAGATGTCACGGGTGTTCAGCCCCTTCTACAACCTGCTGATGAAGATCAGGTATGTGGGCAGCAGGGTAGGGGGCAGCAGTGTGGGCATGACGTGGGGTCACGCTGTCCCCTTCCTGCAGGGATCTGCTGTGGGTGCTGTCAGCAGAGGAGCTGTGCCTGCTGGAGAGGAGCCTTTGTGCAGTTGAAGCAGAGGATCCCTGCAGCTCAGTTACCCCACCAGCCTGGGGGGAAGTAGTGCCCAGAGTGGCACCCCCTACTCTGTGGGGTCTCCTGGAGAGTCCCCACACCACCCCTGTACACCACAGTTTTATGGGGAGGTTGGGTGCAGTGGACAACCCATGCACAGAGAGGCACGTGGGGGTCTGCTTGGGAGGGAGCACGGATGGGGTGTGCCGATCCCTGCCTGGTGGGATAGGGCTTTTTTGTTCCATGCGGTGGGTGACGATCACCTCCCCACACACAGCCCCCAGCACCCCCCGGGGCCACGGCTGGAGGCCACACTGGGTTCCCGCCGCTCAGAGCTGCGCTCCCACTACAGCAGCACTAAGGACATGCTGCACACCCTCTTCGTCTGTATTTCTGGTGAGTGAGTGCTGCGTCCCCCTCCCGACCCCATGCTCACAGAGTGCCCTAAGTTCACACCCCCATACAGGGGTGGCTGATCAGCTCCAGACCAACTTTGCCAGTGATCTGCGCAGCATCCTGAAAACCGTCTTCAAGATCGTAGCCTCACCAGCAGAAACCTCAGAAGAGACAGGCGGCAGTAGTGCGTAACAGGGCTGGCACGAGACATGGCTCCTCCTGTCCCCGGGGAAATGGGGCTGTGATAACAGCGTGGGGACAGCATAGCCACAGTGCCCAGCTGGGGATGCTGGCAGCCATCGCGTGCAACATGTCCCACCCACGGGGACACTCGCGGGGCTGAGCCCTGCCCCGGTTCAGACAGATAAATAACTTTGTCCCCACAGAGGATGAGGACGGCGAGCTGTGTGCAGGTGATGTGCCCCACGTGGATGACTGCCCCCTGTGCCCCAGCCCCAGAGATGCCACCGGGCTCCAAAGGGCAGGTAAGGGGCAGTGGAGCTGGAGGGCGGTGCCAGCTGGGTGGCTGTGCTCTGACCGGGGCAGGGACCCCTGGTAACCCTGCCGTTGCTTTCCCCTTCACATTTCCCCAGCAGGAGCGCACAGACGGCCCGAGTGGGTGCCGGACAGCAGCAGCAGCCACTGCTCTGCCTGCCGTGCTCCCTTCACCCTGCTGCGCCGCCGCCACCACTGCCGCAGTTGTGGGAAGGTACGGGGGGGGGGGGGGGGCGGGGCGGGGTGCGGGGCTGCAGGGCCGTGGTTCTACTCGGTGCCGCTCTCTCTGCAGATCTTCTGCGCCCGCTGCTCGCCGAACACCGCTGCGCTGCCACACTACGGCCAGCCCAGACCTGTGCGTGTCTGCACGCACTGCCACGCCACGCACCTCCCGTCCTGGCGTAGCCGCACCCGCTGACGGGCCCTGGCTGCGGGACGCGGCTGTGGGGCTGCTGGGCAGACCCCGTACCCGTGGGGCCAGGTGGGCGCAGGACCGCTCGCCCCGTGCCCGCAGAGCCTGGCGCTGCTCCATCCCCAGGGCTGAAAACGCGCCTTGTTGCGGTTTTGCTTCGTTGTGTTTTTTTGCAGGTGAACTTTGGCTGCTGTCGGGCCCAGGGCAGAGTCTCTCCCCCCCGGGACCGTCATGAGAAGGGCGCGAGCAGCCCTCACGTGACGGCACCGCCCGGGGGCCGATATGGGCCGGGCCCTCGGGGGGCTCCGACACCGGCGGGATCTTAATAAAGAGATGGAACAGCCGCGTGGGCCGGGCCGAGTGCCGCGCCGGGGTGGGTGGGAGCTCACGCAGCGCGGCTGCAGAGGTGCGCGCGGCCTGCAGGCGCAGCCAGGGGCGCACACGAAGGTGCACGGCTGCGCCTGCCGCCCCGCGCGTCCACGTGCACGCAAGCACGTGCCATCCGCGCCCGTTCAGCGCACACGCGCGCCACGTACGCACGCCTGCGACGCGCGCGGGCCGGACGCGCACACGCTCACGACGCTCGCAGAGACGCGCACCCGGTGCGCACCCACGTGACGGCCGCGCGCTCCGACGCGCCGGGGAGGGGCCGAACGCGAGGGGGCGTGGCCTGCGTCCGGGCGGGCGTGGTCTGCCGCGAGGGGGCGTGGCCCCGCCCCGCTCCGATTCAAATTTGAAGCACGAGCTTTCCCGCCCGAAGTTGTTTCCCCGGCGCGCCGACGTCAGCCCCGCGGGGCCGCGCGCGGCCAATGGGCGCTCCCGCCGCCCGGCCCGGCCCCGCCGCCACCTCCCGCGGCGCCCGCACCCGGCGGGGCCCGGCCGCAGCCATGGAGCGCGCGGCCTCCAGCATCCAGGTGCTGCTGCAGGCGGCCGAGTTCCTGGAGCGGAGGGAGCGGCGCGACCGGATCGCCCCGTGCCTGGCGGAGGCCGAACACGGGTACGCCTCGCCGTGCCCTGCGCGGCTCCGCCAGGCCGGGGACGGCGGCAGGTGAGCGGCGCGCGGGGGGAGCGTCACCGCCTCCCGGTGCCGGTCCCGGTGCTGACGGCCCGCGCTCTCCCTCAGGTCGGTGCACAACGCGTTGGAGAAGCACAGGTACCGGCGGGGGAACGGAGCGGGGCGCGGGGCCGGGCCGTGCCCTGTTGCGCTGACCGCCGTCCCGGCCGCAGGCGGGCGCAGCTCCGGCGCTGCCTGGAGCAGCTGAAGCAGCAGGTGCCGCTGGGCTCGGGGCCGGCCCGGCCCACCACGCTGAGCCTCCTGCACCGCGCTCGGCTGCACATCCAGGTGAGCTCAGCCCGGCGCCGGTGGAGGGGAGGGGTCCGCATCCCTCCGTTCTCCCTCAAACCTGACCGCCCGCCGGGTCCCGCAGCGGCTGCAGGAGCAGGAGGTGAGAGCGCGCCGGGTGAAGGACCGCCTGCGGAGCCGGCAGCAGAGCCTGCGGCAGCGGCTGGAGCAGCTGCTGAGCCCTGGCGGGGCCGAGCGGAGCCGTGCCGACAGCCTGGACTCGTCACAGCTCTCGGAGCAGTCGGGCTCAGACGGAGGTCTGTATGAGGGTGATGGGGGGGGGCATTGGGCGGCCGCTGGGTGCTGACCCTGCCCCTCTGCGCAGAGGAAGCCGAGGTCGACGTGGAGGGTGCAGGGCTCGGTGCGGAGCCGCTGGTTGGCTTCTGCACCGGGAAAGACCACAGCTACTCCAGCCCCCGCAGCCCCTGGTCCTGACAGCACTGTCCTCCAGGACACACGCCACATCGACCCGGGGCTGTGGGGGGCATTGGGTGCCTGGTGCATCCCTACCCCAGGTGGCTGAGTAGAGCTGGATGCTGGGCCCCACTCTGCACAGCAAAGTACTGGGGGGGCGTGGAAGGCACTGGCAAACAGCCTGGCCCCAGTGGGGACGTGCCGTGATTGTGTACAGTGGACGCAGGGCAGTGCCCACCCCCCAGATGCAGCTACAGGCTAGCCCTGCTGGAGCCAGGAAGGGGAAGTAAGCATGCTTAGCAATGCTTCGTGCCCCCACCATACCCTGACTCCTCTCTCTTGTATATACTGATACTATTATTGCAGTAAAGGCACTTGGTTAAACTGTGTCTGCTTCTTGCCTGTGGCCGGCAGGACTCGCTGCCTGCATCCATCCCCAGAGCTCTGCTCCAAAAGCCCAGCCCTCAGCCAAGTCAGAGGTGGAAGTCGACTCTTTAATGATAATTACATCTTAGGATCTAACAGCAGCTGATTGTCAGACTTTTACAGTTAAAAATATAAAATTTAAGGAGGCTCCTATCTGTTCTGGTGTAGCCCAGCTCTTGCCTGTGTCCAGCTCCTCACACGAACTGCTTCTTCTTGGTGGCTGCCTTGCTTGCTAGGTCCTTGGCTTTTTCTGTAGCAGCCAGAGCTGTCTCCTTTGCTTTCTCAGTTGCTTCCTTTGCTGTCTCCACCAGGGTTTTAGATGGAGCTTCTCCTGAAACACACAAGTTGTTGACCCGACCCCAGTTGCCTCTGCACCTCAGCTGAAACAAGCTGGGTGAACCATGTCCTGCCTTCTCCTCCACACAGGAGAAACCCAGCCCTGTGTTCCCAACCCACATGCATTACAGCACGTCCCAGTGAGTTCCAGGCACGTGACAACTGCTGCTCTGCTCCCCCTTCTGTCCGTGCTCCACCCCTGCCCAGCCTCCACACAGCACAGCCTGGGCCTGGCTGTACTGCCTGGCAGCTCCACTCCGGAAGAGCAGTTGTTCTTGTGAGGGCAAAGGCAAGGGGCAAAGATGTCACAGTCAGTTTAGCTCAAGCTGGGGCCTACGCATGGACTGGAGCGATGCCAGCATGACCTGCATCTCCCAGAGACTTGTCCTACCCAGCCCTGCCCTACCCTACCCTTGGCTGTTTACCTTGCATCCTTGCTAGCACGTATTCAAATCCTTTAGTGCTCTTGGTCACGTTGCTTTTGAACCTGGCCAGACCAAACTCCTGCAACAGAAAAACTTATGGAGGTGCAACCAGCAGTCCTTCCTCAGGCTCTGTCCCAGGCTGAGCAATCCCAAATATTTGGTGGCTCTGGACTCCCCAAGAGGTCACAAAGATTGGGAAGCGATGGGGAAAGGGGGAAAACCAGCACAGGGCATGGGTACAGCAGTGACTGAGCTCTTGAAAGAGATGGCACAGCAGGGGCTCTATGCAGCACTCACCTGGACTGCCCGTGAGACGCCAAAGAGGCTGGAGGAGACCCAGGCCTCGCGCTTCACTTCAGTCCAGCTGCTGTTCTCAGGGTTCACCCGGTAGACGCAACGCTCCTCCACTGCCTGCAGGGAGCACAGCGCAGCTGTGAGCGCTGCCCGGGGGCCTCCCGCACCCACCCCCAACCTACCTACACCCACCATCAGGCGCGCGTGATTGATGTTCCAGGTGAACGTGGTCATGGTTCGGTTCTTGGGGTCCACGATTGAGTCCTCCAGGATGTAGACGGAGTGGGCGACGTTGGCCGGGAAGAAGCGTTCGGCCCAGCGCGGCATGCGGTTGGTCTTGGTCAGGAGCCGCCGGGAGAGCAGCTTGTGGTCCGCCGTCACCTCCCGGTGCACGATGTCCTCGGTCAGGACATGTTTGCTGAAACGGAGAGAGGGGAAACGATGGTCAGAGCCCGCTCCCGGCCATCCGGGCCCCACCCGGCGCGGGAGGCGGCACGTCGGGACCAGCTGAGGGGAGCGGAGGACGCTGGGCCTGCGGGGCCCTGGTACAGGGATTCCTCGGGGCCTCTCCGGGGGATGAAGGAGGACCTCCGGGGGCTGCGGCGCACCTGTAGGGGTTGGGGTAGCGCTGCCAGAAGGCGGCGAAGACCTGGTCCCAGGGCCCTTTGAGGACGCCCAGGCTGGCGCAGTACTTCCCCATGGGCTCGGGCTCAGGGCCGCACCGCCGCGCCCGTTCCGGCCCGCGCCTGCTGGGCGGCCGCCATGCGGCCCCTACCCCCGCCGCGCAATTCCTCCTCGCTCGCACGTACTTCCGCCGTCAAGCCCCGCCCCCGTGCACTTCCGCCTTAAGCCCCGCCCCATCGCGCCGCCGCTTCCGGCGCCTCGGCCCCGCCCCGGCCCGGCGCGGCGCGAGGATGAGCGGGCGGCGGGTGGACGCCAAAGTGGTGCTGCTGGGCCAGGAGGGCGTGGGCAAGAGCAGCCTGGTGGAGCGCTGCGTGCACCGCCGCTTCCGCGCCGGGCCCTATCAGAACGTGAGGATCCGCGGCGCGGCTGCGGCCCGACTGTCCCCTCCGCGTCCCCCGGCGGTCCCCGGGTCGGGTGTCCCAGGGCCTCCCCGCCGTGTGCTCCTGCCCTCCCCTTCCCTTCCACGTCCCCGGGCCGGTCCCCCTGAGTCGGGTCCCCACGGTGCCCCCACGGCTCCGCTCTTCCCGCGCGCCTCTAAATCCCCCATGTCACCCTGCCGTCCCCGGAGCGTCTCCCACACCTCCGTCGGCCAAATTCCCCCCGTGCCTCTGTGCCGGCCTCCGCCGAGTCCTCGTGTCCCCACCCCAGTGCCGTGTTCCACCGCATCCCCAACTCGTGGGTTCCCCTTTTGTCCCCATTTCAGACCCCTCTGTGCCCCCCCCGGCCTCACCGTACTTCCACCACTTTTGCAGACGATAGGGGCTGCGTTCGTGGCGAAGGTGCTGTCTGTGGGGGAGCAGACGGTGACACTGGGGATCTGGGTGAGTGCTGAGCACAGAGCACCGTCCCTGCTCACTCCCTGACCCCCCCCACTGCTGACCGTTCCCCCTGTTCCCCCAGGACACAGCGGGCTCCGAGCGCTACGAGGCCATGAGCCGCATCTACTATCGTGGGGCGCGAGCTGCCGTCGTCTGCTACGGTGAGGGCTCGGGGTTGGTGACAGCGACAGTGGGTCTGGGGGGGACACTGGGGCCTGGGGCAGGGCCTGACACCTCTCTCCCAGACCTCACCAACAGCAGCAGCTTCCAGCGCGCCAAGTTCTGGGTGAACGAGCTGCAGAACTGCGAGGAGGTAACACTGAGGATGAGTTCTGTGTTGGGGTTGTTTTCTGGGTGGGGGCTCGTGGAGAGGCTGGGGACAGGGAGTGGTGGCAGTGCCTGCTGCCCTTGTGCTACTGTAGGGCTGCCGGATCTACCTGTGTGGCACCAAGAGTGACTTGCTGGAGGAGGACCGGAGGAAGCGAGACGTTGACTTCCACGACGTGCAGGACTATGCCGATGGTAGGGCCTTTCCCACCGCCCAGATCCCACAGGGCCCAGATGCTGCATCTGCCCCTCTGTGGGGGCTGTGGGGGCTCCCTGGGCAATGGGGCTTTGGCTCTGCCAGGAGCCTCCTCAGCATGGCATGTCCTGGCGTGCAGGCCAGGGCTGGTGCCAGCTTAGCCTGGGGAAGTGCACAGTTGTGTCCTGGGCCCCTGCCAGTGCACTGGCAGCAGCCACAGCTGAGGGGTGGCCCTGGTGACAGCTGAGCTGTGGGCACGTGCTGTGCCCACAGCAACAGCTAATCTGGGCCTTTATTTCAGAGGTCAAGGCAGAGCTGTTTGAGACCTCCAGCAAGACAGGACAGAACGTGGGTGAGTAGCCCCATGCCGTAGCAGTGCCATGAGTGGCTGTGTGTGGGTGTGGGGAACTGTGGACACCCACACTGCGCCTTGATCCCTGCAGATGAGCTGTTCCAGAAGGTGGCTGAGGACTACGTCCACTTCACTGCCTTCCAGGAGATGACAGGTGAGCACCCACTGCAGGGGGATCCGCAAGGAAGGTTCAGAGAACTCACAGGTCCCTTTCTCCTTTGCTGTCTCTGTAAGCTTTGTTGGGAAGGATGTTCTCTCTGGGCTTTTGGGTGGGCTACGTTCAGCATCACTGCACAGAACTGTCAGCAGCCTCCTGCTCCATTCTCTTCCAGAGGAGAAAGGTGTTGACCTGGGCCAGAAAAGCAGTTCCTACCTGTACAGCTGCTGCCACCACTGAGATCTTCAGCCAAAAGGGAACTGCTGGTGCGGGCTGCCTGCCCCGCTGCTCTTTGGACTCCGTCTGTTTTTTACCTGCTGTATTTTAGCTGTGTGAGAAGCTGTGTGCAAGGGAAGCGCAGCCCCATGGATCACTCCGCTCCCTGGCCTCGGTGTATGGAGCTGCGCGGTGCTGGGAGCCGCAGGTGCCCACCGAGGTGCCCCTGCTGCCTGTTGGCAGAGACCCAGCAGCATCCATAACTTATTTTCTTGGAGATGTCGCCCGATTCTTTGCGGATTATTTAAGCGTCTTCTATCACGGTGTACAATGTAAATAAAATGCATTGTGGTCTGAGACCGGGTCACAGGCGTGATGCCGGCGCCGTGTCTGGTGGCTGCGGCCCAGCCGCCCTCACCTGCTGCCCAAACTCATCAAGACAAAACACAGGAGGACATCGAGAGTAAAGTTAAACTTTACTTTACAGTAATTTTTCTTCTATATACAAAGAATTACAGTACATGTTCTGGGAGCACCTGGGCAGGGCAACCCTCTTTTCATTATAAGTTTCACATACACAGCCAACAGTCTAAGGGGAGCAAAATGAAAGTAATCAATGGTCCAAGACTCCCCCCTCTCCCTCTTCTAAAAATAATATACATGCTGGAAATATGTAGGTTTCTCTCACCCGCTCTGGCATTCCCGCTTAGAGCTGACACGTGAGACCCGGGCAGCTCAGTGTGACCACACGACCCCAAGGCCCCCCACATGGGCACCCCCACTGCAGCCACTGCTCCCTTCAGCGGGGCCTGAGGGCCGCAGTCCTCTATCCACCAGCACCCCACAGGCAGCAGAGCCCGGCCTTGAGCCCACCACGACCCCTCGTACCCTCCCTGACAGCAAGGGATGGGGACAGGTAGCAAGGGCATCCCCTCCCTTGGTTCTGCATGCCCAGGGCTATCCCCTCTGAGCTGGGATGGGGCCGCACTCCCCGGGAGCACCAGCTAATGACAGAGGATGCTAGGAACCCGACACAGTATCTGACACAGCCACTCTCATCCCGACCTGCCAGGGCCACCCCCAGCTCCAGCCCAGCTTCCCCTTGAGCTCCCCGCTGCTGCTGCTGCTTCTCCTCAGAAGTTCCCAGTGTCTTAAAAAACAAAACAAAACAAAACAAAACAAAAAACCAACACAAAACCCAGTTCCTTGAAGTCAACAACTCGGAAACATCAGAAAAACAAAAACTGAAACCAGCTCAGTACCAAACGGACACACAGAACATGCAGTTAGCGGACGCCTGGCTGCTTCACGCGGCTCCACTCGCTGCCTGCGCTCACAGGGCTCAGTGCTGAGAGCCTCAGAGCCACCACAAATGGGAGGAACGTGGTGTCCCCCAGCTCAGGAGACGTGCCTTGTCCTGTTTTGGTCTCACACACCAAAGCCCAGCCCCAGCGACAGCCTCCGGCCCACGGGCTGGGAGCCGTGAGTTCAGCCCTACTGTGCTAAGCTGCCGAACGATTTACAATAGCACCACGATAGCCCAAGAGCTTAACCAAGGGCAAACTGATTAAAACTTTACCTTGAAATAGGACATAGCAACACCCATTTCTCAGATTTCCCTAGGAGGTAGATTCAGCGCTGTAGGGACTGTCCATCACTGCTGCTTCCCCAGCCCAGGCGCACGCCATCCCACCGCCCTCGGCCCCCACGGGATCACTGTTGGAGAAACTTCCCCCCTCGAGCTGCCTGAGGGGCGGCCCCAACCCCACGGCCCCCGGCAGCCCCTGTTGGCATCGCTGCTGCAGGAACCATCAGCACAGAGCCTTGGTGGCCAAAGCACAGCACAAGCGCTCACCGGACGCGGGCGGCTGCCTCCGTCGCTTCCTTTCAGAGCAGCTGCACATTTTGCCACTTTGCTTCAACATTCACTCGCTGGCAAAGACTCATCGGTAGTTTAGGGCAAAGCACATTACAAGCAGGTTACAAGTACGGCTATTCCAAACACCAAGCAAAATCAAGTTAAGGCTGAAATTAAAAATAAACAAAGCGTTGAAGGTCCGAGGTTGCTCACACCAACATCCTGCTGTAACACCATCAGCACAAGCAGCTCACACCACGGCGTGCTCGGGTTAAAGCAGCTGACCAGGCATTACATTTAAGTCTGCTTTTTTATTCTTCTCCCCCATGAAACATGGCTGCAGCTCCTCCAGCATCCTAAGCTGCATCTCCTCACCCCTGATACAGGACTGTTCTGAAGCTTTAATCACACATCTCACCTCCCAGATTCAGTGGGCACACCTGTAAAGCTGTGCCTGTGCCTGGGGGGGTTAATGCCACATTGTAATGCATGCACCCACAGTACGAGCTGGATGGTTTGTGCATGGAAGTCATTCTGGTTTGGTTTTGTTTTGTAAAGAGCAAAAGGTTTAAGCTGAGAACAGCAGTACGGAAAGCTACCTGAGCTAGCAGGCATTGAAGGATGGTATGGAGTGATCCCTTATGGCATTGCTTTCCCACCAGCTTCAGCAGAGCCCTGGCAGAAGCACAGCCCCACAACCTGGAGCTCAAGGGCTGAGCCCAGCAGGAGGTTGCTCACTGCCTCCAGCACTGCACAGCAGGCGGATCCTGCCCACACGAGCTCCTTCACCAGCCCACAGCGGGGCACTGAATGGGGCCATGCTGTGAGATCAAGGCCACAGCAGCTGCCCCCAATGCTCTGCTTGGAGCAGGGGCAGCCCAGCCCACCAGCAAGCACACAGACAAAGCACGTGCATGGCTGCCAAAGATTCCAGCCCCTTGCGCAATGGGAAGTGAGGCCAAACCTACAATGCACTGCCATGGAGCTCCATCCTGGAACACAGAAGTAGCAGCTGCCCCGGATTCACCCCGTTATCAGATCTCTCTCACTAAAAAAAGTGCTGTTGTTAGACCACAGGAGCTGCCACGCTGCAGCAAAGCTGGCCAGCCTCTACCTGCAGCATCACAGGAGGTTGGAGCAGACTTTCAGCCATTCCTCCTGCATGAGCAGCCAACCAGGGCTACGTGTTTTCCTAACTCCATGATTCAAACTGGCTAAACTCTGCAAGGCAGCAAAGAATTGCAGGAAATGAACCCGGCTGCTTCAGTACATGCCTCCAAAGCTGTGCTACCAGCTGCCACCACCAGCGAGAGGCACCTCCTCCTACCAACCACCACCTCCTACCACCTCCAGGTGAGGACAGGCTGGGAGCAGCAGGGGACCTTTCCCCATGCTTGGTCAGGATATTTTATGGGGTGACTCAGCACAGTCACTCCCAAAAGCACGAACACACAGAACCCTGTGGATGTCTGAGAAGCACTGCTGATCTGACACATCACCGTCTGGGCTGAGGGAAGGGCAGCTCACTGAAGTCAGTGTTCCGATGTAGATGGAAGGCAGCAAGATGGGAGCTTGGATCTTCGTGGAAAAGGCATTAAGGGAGAGAAGAAGAGAGGCAGGGTGCAGTCTGCTGCAAGGAGTAAGGCCGTGGTTTTGAAATGCCATGCAACAGTTCAGTCTGCATTCATTGCTGAAAACAAGCTCGGAGAACACTGCTCGCTGCGGGAAAGGCGCTGCTGCCGCGGCCCTCGCCCTACTGTTGGAGCACACGATTCACAGAAGTGATTCTTTTCAAACCTGCGCTTGTGAGAATTCATCGAGAACTCCTCCATTTTACAGATTTAAAAAAGCCTGCACCAAAAATATTCACAGTTTATTTTTCATGAAACAAATAACTAGTTAACACGTGACAAAGCAAAGCGGAGTCGGACAGAGCAGCGCAGATACCTGCATGGTTACAGCTGGAGCTGGCGGGGCGGCTGGCACGGAGGTAACCCTACTTACACAATCTACATGACTACGTCCAGCTCATGGGAAGGCCTATAAATGCGAATTCAAGGTTTATTTTCCTTCTCACACAAGATAAATACTTAATATACTTATCCTCATGACCATTTTTTTTTTATTTTGTTTAGAAAAGTTGAATGCCCTTAGATTATCTTCTCTCTCAATGGCTCTGAGGAGTTGTCCTGATTCCCTTTGTGCAGGAGTCGTGCAGAAACACGAGCTGCTTGCATTTCCCGTTTCAGCAGCAAGCAGGAATGGACCTGCCAGTCTTCCCGGAAAAAAACATCATTAAACATTAAGTTTCCATAAGCCATAAAGCTTTTTGAAGTTGCTAGCTATTCTATAAAGGATCTGAAATGATTCGGACTAGAGAAGAGATGCACCACTCACCGGTAACGTCCTGCTCTGCCAGGCAGGCCTGGCCTTGGCAGCAGGGCATTGCTGTGGGGCGCACGCATCAGCAAAGGAGAACGGGTCAGGATTTGTCTCAGCACAAGCGTCTGCCTCCCCTCAAAGAAAACTGCAAAGCTTGTGACCGCACGCTTTGGGAGCAGCAAGTACCTGCACACCAAGAGCGACCAAGGACCTGCTTCCATGTCAGCAGGAAAGGGTCAGGCCGGAGCAGAAGCCTCCCCTTCCTGAGCGCCCTGCAGACCTGCCCCAACGAGAAGGATCCGCGGAGCGGCGGTGCTACCTGACCAGAGAGCTCAGGCATAGCAGAGGTCAGGTGATGGAGAGCAGGAGGGCACACAGGGTCAGCAAGGCTCCCTCAGCAGCACTGCCCACCACACACTGCTCCAGCATGCACCGGGACGCTCCTGCACACGGCCGCTCTGCTGCCTTAATGCTTGAGAAAGCTGTTTTCACAGCAGGCCTCGTCTGGGCACCCACCAGGTGACAAAACAGCTCCTCAACTGGAAAAGGAAGAAGAGTCAAGAAGCAAGCCAGCCAGCTGCTAGAGCCCACTGTGTTCCAGTGTGAGAACTACGATTGGGTCGGAAGGACACACGCGCACACACACACACACACCAACATAATCCAGTTAATTCAAGTCTCCTTTGGTTGTAGGCGAGTTAAGCCAGAAGTCACCCAGGGGAAGGTGTTGAGGTGGATCCCGGTACAGACGGCCCCTTTGCCTCTGTGCGGCAGAGCAAACAACACAGGCTTCGCTCGCAGCTCCGCAGTGCATCGTGCTGCTGGAAGACCTGGTGTGACGCAAGCACCTCCTGCACACATCTGAGGCAAGGAGAGAGAAGACTGTGAAATCTGCTGGCTCACGGTGACCAGTTGAGAAGAGAGCGGATGGAAATTTCACAGGGAGCAGCGGCACCGTGTGCAGGCCATGCACAGCACCAGGGAGAATTCGCTCTGCCTGACTGCTATTGCTGTTGTATAGGTCGCGATGTTTGCCAAGTACAGGAAGCACTCTGCATGTCCTGTGCTAAAGGATTAAGACGCAAGAAGGAAAAAACTGCCAGATGGCTTCTTCCAA